TTACTAGACATGCGGTTAACTTTCATCACAAGTGTTATTGCGATGTTTCTTTGGTTAACAAGCTTCAGTGTTATATATTATAGAACTAAACATGTTTACTATATGTTTACTTAAACATGTTTAGTTCTATAATATATAACACTGAAGCTTGTTAACCAAAGAAACATCGCAATAACACTTGTGATGAAAGTTAACTGCATGTCTCAATATAGTTTTACAGTAAAAATGTTGTAAACACCTTATTGTTAACTGCATGTCTCAGTATCGTTTTGTAGTAAAAAATATTGTAAATACCTCACTGTTAACCGCATGTCTCAGAATCGTTTTGCAGTAAAAAATGTTGTAAACACCTTATTGTTAACTGCATGTCTCAGTATCGTTTTGTAGTAAAAAATATTGTAAATACCTCACTGTTAACCGCATGTCTCAGAATCGTTTTACAGTAACAATTATTGTAAACACCTCATTGTTAACTGCATGTCTCAGTATCGTTTTGTAGTAAAAATATTGTAAATACCTCACTGTTAACCGCATGTCTCAGAATCGTTTTACAGTAAAAAATGTTGTAAACACCTTATTGTTAACTGCATGTCTCAGTATCGTTTTGCGATAAAATGAGTGTAAACACATCACTGTTAATGCATATCTCAATATCGCTTTGCAGTAAAAAAAACGTGTAAACACCTCACTGTGAACCGCATGTCTCAGAATCGTTTTGCAGTAAAAATATTGTAAACACATTATTGTTAACTGCATGTCTCAATGTCGTTTTGAAATAAAACGCATGTAAACACCTTAGTGTTAACTGCATGTCTTAACATTGTTTTGCAGTAAAAAATAGTGCAAACACCTGATTGTTAACTGCGTGTCTCAGTATTGTGTTTGCAGTAAAAATATTGTAAAAACATCACTATTAACTGCATGTCTCAATATCGTTTTGCAGTAAAACATTTGTAAATAATTCATTGTCACCTGTGTGTCTCAATGTCGTATTTGAAGTAATAAGAGCGTAAACACCCCCACTGTTAGCTGTATGTCTAAATATCGTTTTGCAGTAAAAAGCGTATGAACACCTTACTGTTACCTGAATGTCGCAGTATCGTTTGGCAGTAAAAATACAGTGTAAATATTTCACATTTAACTGCATGTCTCAATATCGTTTTGAAGTAAAAATAGTGCAAACATCTCGCTGATAACTGCATATCTCAATATCATTTTGCAGTAATAAAATATTGTGAATACCTTACTGTTAACTGCATATCTCAATATCGTTTTGCAGTAAAAGTGTCTGACTGATTTATAACGCAATAAATCTTGATTCCGTGGTTAATCAATTGGAACATCTTTTATTTGAAAAAGAGTATTCATGCTGCTAAGAGTGGTTAATTAAACTTACTTTAACGGTTGATTACTAGTGGTTAATTAAACTTACTTTAACGGTTGATTACTATAAGAGGAATTAATTGTAAAGTTTGTTTTGATTGGTCTATTCGTGTGGAAATTATTGTTTTGTTCTTACGTGAGAAGGTAGTATGATTTTATGCTAGTATGTCTTTTCTGAATCACAAGTTTTTGATATAGTTTTGCGAAGTAAAAGTTGGCTAATATTTTATAAAATAGCTGTGAGACCCGATCGCAATAGAAAGGTGACTTTTCATATTCTCCAATGTGAAGTTATGTCTAGGCATACTCTAGATACGGTATTAAATGTAAGAAATATTTGGCCTTTCACGCTTTCCAATGTGGAATTGCGTTCACGTATGATATTAAAAGTTACGAAGGTTAGGGAAAAATGGCATTTAACGCTCTCTGATGTGAAAGTTATGCCCAGAAAAAGTCCGGATACAATATTAAATGTAAGGAATATTTGAGAAAGATGGCCTTTCACGCTCTATAATGTGAAGTTATGTCTTGGCACACCTTAGGTCCAGTATTGAAAGTTAGGAAGAATTGGTAATATATTATAGTAATTTATTATCTTCAAATGATAATTATTTTTTATTAAAGTTAATGAAATAATTACAGTCTTAAATTCACGTATTTAAATAATGCACTATCTTTACTTTTCATGATAAAGACAATGTAATGGAAAGCTAAAGGCTGAATTTTAATAGTTATTAATGAGTTTAATGAAACATAAGTTTTGTTTAGTAGGTGTAGATTTGTTTCTTGCTTTTACGTAAGTAATAACATTAGTTTTTGTCAAATCTACCACATTCTTTATATCATTCCTGGGTCAATGCCACTAAAATCTTTAGTCACGTTTATCATAACTTATGGTTCCATAAACAGGAAGCGACTGTGTTGATGTTCTTGCTTTCTCAATTTTCTCGTTGTTTCCTTTTCATAGAAAAGCAAAGTGCAGAAATGTTCCTAGTTGGATATGAGGTTGTCATAAAGAACTGAAGTAAACTGTCCTAGTGGAGATGAGTTGTCATAAAGAACTGAAGTAAACTGTCCTAGTGGAGATGAGGTTGTCATAAATCCTAGATGGAGATGAGGTTGTCATAAATAATTGAAGTAAACTGTCCTAGATGGTAATGAGGTTGTTATAAAAAATTGAAGTAAACTGGGGTTTTAGGAATGGAGCATAATAATAATTTTGCTCGTTCATTGCACTTGAGTTGACAGATGTTACATCCAAAAATATGGTGAAGAACATAGAAACACCACTTAGATAAGTAAGACAACCCAGAACAAAATAGTATTCTAAGTTATGAATATTGAAAAGAGCTTTTGGAATTTTGGAAATTATAATTCTATGTTCGTTAGTATTGAAAATGTTGGTGGGAGAGTATTCCATTCACCAGTTTCTAAGGGAAGAAAAGTTCGAGTGGGAGATTGTGTATTCTAAGACAAGATAATAATCAACAAGAAATGACTTCAAATAATATTAAGTTAAACCATTATAAATTCAATATTTTACATTTGTTTTTGTTAAGATACTTCACCACGACTTTCGTACTGGGTGATTCAAAAGTCTATAGGCAAATAATTGGGAACATGAGAGGTATAAGAAGTCCTCCTGTGGCTCAGTGGTAAATCTGAGGACTTATGATGCTAAAATTAAGTTTCGATACCTGCAGTGGACAGAGCACTAATTGTTTGTTTTTAGCGCAAAGCCACACGTCAGACTAACTGCGTTCTATTCATCGCGAGTTTTAGCGTTGTAGGTCCTTAGACTTACCGCTGTTCCATTAAAGGGGGGTGTAGAGCACAGATAGCCAATTGTGTGGTGCAAGAAAATATTTGTTAGTGATATGGAATGAGATGTTGTGACAATATCACTGAGGTTATTTAAGGTCAACTTCAAGGTTGCGTCTTCCAAAAGTTTTATTAATCTGCATCATGCATGACGAATATCAATTGGAAAGGTTTAAACAATAACAAAAAATTAAAAAAAAAGATTATCAAAATGTCTCTGCAACAACAACAGTTACAGATATAAATGCAGATAAGGTAAATATCCTAAAAGTATTACGAAATGGCAAACAATGAACAGCTGCGTCCAAAGTGCTGCCCAAATGTGACAAGTCCTAATATGGCAGCTTTATTAGCTGTATTGTTTGCTGTTTTTGGTCTGCTCACGTGTTGTTTCATGCATAAACGAGCCTTTGGTACGAGTGGATGACACACATTTCCTATCATCTGATGTGATGGTGGACGTTCATCTGGGAACCGTTTAGCATACAATCTGGTAGCAAGCTGGGCATCCTGGTGACACTATCCATACACTATGACCATGTTAAACTGTCCTTCAAATTAATACTGTATCGTTATTTAGACGATTTGTAAACAGCTACACCACGATGCTTGTGTGATACATAATGCAAGGGTTTTTTATTTTAATACATTTCGACTTTTTTGGACCCTTTCAAGGTACAATGACCTACTTCTACAAAATTCTCACCTTGCACCTCAAACTTCTAGATTTGTGTAACAACCTTTGTTGTGGTCGGATTTCGATCTTCTATTGCATAACTCCATATGCATAGTAGGATTGCAAACTGCTACTTGTGAGAAGCGATTTTGGTAGACTTTCATTTAAGATGTTTCATTTGTTATTGTAAACAATGTTTTGCGTGGAAATTTTGGTTGTATGATGCATATTAATAAAAATTCTGAAGAAAACGAACTTAATGATATTGTCACAGGGTAGGCCCACAACACTTCATTCAACGCTATTAACAATAATTTTCTAACAATTTTCTATTTCTGAATTATTTGCCTGTCATTGGAATTCTAAATCACCCTATAAAACCATAATTTATACAATTGCACATCTACAGCCTGTGATTATGCAAGCCTGTCTTTGTTTCTACATTAGTTTGTTGAACCATAGTGTTCAATGGAATAGTTTCTGACAGTAATTGTCCCTATATACACTGTTATGGAAGTATCTTTTAGTGCGCTTTGTTTAAAGGATAAATTGGAAGTTAAATTGCTCAGGCACCATTGTATAAAACATCCACTAACGTGGTATTATTAGTACTTAAACACAAAGTAATAACACCGATAGAACTTTTTATTGTATCTTATGTAAATACCTCTAAATCATTGTCTTAATATTACAACACCGCCTCTTAATTAGGTTTTCTACGCCGGGTTGGAAATAATTATCAAGTCTTCTGAAGTTGATCGAGCACCCTTTACTTAATATCGTGGATTCCATTAGACCAAATCTCGAATAAAAAAAAATAGAGAGTAACTTTGGATAATTTTTGATGTATTTATTGTTGTAACTACATGTAATCCAATGTAACCATTGCACCATTCTTTTTCGTTAATTCTGTTTTCATAGTTACGTTTTAAAACTCACTAACATTGTGGTGTATAATCCTCTGGTGGTGGACTTAGATTAAAATTGAATTAAACGTATATCTTAACGCAGAAATGATTGAATTTAGGGATTTATCACATAGTATTAGTTTATAGGAAAAATACGTCGAAATGTGAATGATATCTAGCGTTTCAGAATTAATGATAGAGTGTTGAAGAAACCTTTCATGAAGTGCAATTATTACTGTTGAATATATGGAGTTACAGTTGAGGTGATTATTGTAATTACAGCTAAGTACGTTGGTAAGTGAGTAGACACCATGAGATTAAACTGTTGTTGAAAATAAAGTTGTAAGCTTACATATTCAATTAGGAACTGTTTTCATTGTCTGAGTTAGAAATTGTTCTGTTAAGGTAAGTAGTATAAGAAATTAGTTGACATTTAAACTATTTACATGCACTCTAGCATTTTTTGAAAAACAGAAACAAACCATTAAAAATACTAGTTACAAACCCCTATGCGCAGGCCAGATATTCAGAAGATATCTGAACACGTCAATAAACTTTCCCAACTCGACACTTCTTTCTTTAGGTAGCACGTGACACATCACAACTGGTCCGAAACAAACAGCCAAATTTTGAGAGGTCATCTTGTTCCTGTCACTGTGACTAACCACTCGTTTTAAGTGGTCCATTAAGCACAGAACTGCACACTAGAAAACAGTAAAAAAAAGCAAGAGAAATGAATGAAAATATTACTGATAATAATAATAGATTGCTCTATTAATCAAACAGGTTGTTAATTTACAAATATAGAGTTTACATTTTTCGTTTTAATGTTTCAGCTTGTTTTTATTTGAGCCCTAAGCTATATAATAGACTCTATGCACTGTGTCCACCACGAGCATGTAAGCCCTTAATCTTATCGTTGAACCACTGGGGGGGGGGGGAGGCTTAAAGTATCAGAATAAGGATTATAAACTGTTACAAATTTCACATAATCATAGCTTCGAGGAACCTTTTACAACAAAATCCTGTTTACAAGTATATTTTGTTATTGGTTTTCTTAGCCTGTTTACAAATAAATGTTGTTGTTGAGTTTTTAGCCTTTTTACAAATATATGTTGTTGTTGTTAGTGGTTTTAGCCTGTTTACAAATAACAACAACGACGTATATTTATAAAGAGGCTAAAACCCAACAACAGCATATGTTGGTTTTTAGCCTGTTTACAAATATATGTTGTTGTTTGTTTTTTAGCCTGTTTACAAACATATGATGTTGGTTTCTAAGCCTGTTTACAAATATATATTGTTGTTGGTTTTTAGCCTGTTTATAAATATATGTTGTTGTTGTTGGTTTTTTAGGCTGTTTACAAATATATGTTGTTTCTGGTTTTTAGCCTGTTCACAAATATATGTTGTTGTTGGTTTTTAGCCTGTTTACAAATATATGTTTTTGTTGGTTTTTAGCCTGTTTACAAATATATATCATTGCTGGTTTTTAGCCTGTTTACAAATATGTGTTGTTGTTGGTTTTTATCCTGCCTACAAATATATGTTGTTGGTGTTTTTTAGCCTGTTTACAAATATATGTTGTTGTTTTTTAGTCTGTTTACAAATATATGTTGTTGTTGGTTTTTAGCCTGTTTACAAATATATGTTGTTGTTGTTTTTTAATCTGTTTACAAATATATGAAGTTGTTATTCTTTTAGTCTATTTACAAATATATGATGCTGTTGTTTTTAGTCCGTTTACAAATATATGTTGTTGTTGTTTTTTAGTCTGTTTACAAATATATGATGTTGTTGTTTTTAGTCTGTTTACAAATATATGTTGTTGTTTTTTTTAGTTTGCTTACAAATATATGTTGTTGTTGGCTTTTATAGCCTGTTTACGAATATATATATTGTTCCTGGTTTTTAGCTTGCTTACAAATATATGTTGTTGTTGGCTTTTATAGCCTGTTTACGAATATATGTTGTTCCTGGTTTTTAGCCTGTTTACAAATATATGTTGTTGTTTTTTAGCCTGCTTAGAAATATATGTTATTGTTGTTTTTTAGTCTGTTTACAAATATATGATGTTGTTGTTTTTTAGTCTGTTTACAAATATATGATGTTGTTGTTTTTTAGTCTGTTTACAAATATATGTTGTTGGTTTTT